GACCAGGCGCTCGATCACTTCGATGGGGCTTTTGACTCCTCGATGCGCGTTGACGGTGTCTTTGAGCGTGGCGGTGTCAAAACGGAGGAAGTAGCCGTCTTTGGGACATGCGGGCCGCTGGAAGATCTGGTTGAAGAGACCGGGTTCCAGAAGATCTTGTCGATGTGTCTCTGGAACTTTTCCTGTTATTCTTCCGGATGTGCTTGCGTCGATCAACAGCCGTGCGTAGCTTGGGGTGAGTCCAACCGTCTTGACATCGCGCCGATCTCGATGTTGGCTTTCCAAGATGCAGGGGTACCAGAAACCATAATGTGTCAAGCTAGTGTCCGGTGGTGCCTGGATGCCCAGCAATGGCATGGTGGTGAGCAAGGCATCCGACGGGTGAGGTCCTGAGTTGAACATGTGTACATTCTTCTGGACATGGTCGAGCTGAAGCTGTGTGATCCTCATTTTGGGAAGGACAGAAACGAATGTGGCTGGGCTCTATACCAAAAGGAAATGAAGCCGGGGAAGCAAGATTCTTGCTGAGAGTATTGTGAAAGAGATAGAGATGTGCAGAACAGTATCAAATGCTATAAGAGAGACGGACTCGTGTAATATGACACCCAAAAGTTAAGAGTTGAACGGTGAACGATTGTTGCAGAGAGATCAAATACTTACCGTGCAAGAGAGTGGAGGAAGGTGTTGATGACTCCAGAGTTGATCCATAGTACCTACCATAGAACCTACCATAGAACGTCAATTGCATACAGCAGGAGAGACTTCCGAACAGAGGCCTCGAGCTCTGTTGCAACATCCCAGTGTGTGATCTTGATGATGGTAGACATCGATAGAAGTGATGAGGAAACAAGATGATAACTTAACGTTATGGTCAGCACAACATGCCCAGGCATCCAACCCCTGGAATCACGGGCCTCCGGGCGAACCAACCTCCGTTAACTAGCCCCGAAACTGTCTCGAAGCTTGCCTGGCGGTAACTAAGTAATTAACTAAGTAAGTAATTAACCATTCCCTCCGAACACTAACCAGCCGCCTTGGGAAGGCCAGTGTGGGCATCTCGTACTTATCATCCCCCCCATACCTCCATCCGCCAAGATGGAAACATTCATATCCCGAGGCCATGTCTACGAGCAGACAGGCCGTTTCAACAGGGAGTCATATAAGAAGAGATAAAGTCGGCCGTCGAAAGGGCTACATTGCCCAACCTACCGGTCCCATCCTACACCCGAGTTGAAGCAGACCCAGGTAATATTTACTGACATAGCTCTCTACCGCCATCCAAGTAATACAATATTACAGCTGTCCAGCTCATCAACACAAGGACGACCAACCACAGCCCACAGAAACAACCATCTCAGCTGCTGAATCCAAGCCCCCAACCCCC